GTGTATTGTGTTCTACTCAGGTGTACTATGTTCTGCTCAGATGTACTATGTTCTACTCAAGTGTATTGTGTTCTATTCAGGTTTACTATGTTCTACTCTGGAGTACTATGGTCTACTCTAGTCTTGCATAATCTACTCTACATAGTTCTACTACTGTGTAGTCTAGTCTACTACGGTCTACTCTGATCTCCAATGTACTACTTACGTTTATTATGTTCAACAATGTTCTAATCTAGTTTCTACTTATTTGTACAGTAGTGATCTAATCTGGTCTACTCTAGAGAGTTTTTTACGGTTGTTAAAAATGTGTATTGAAGATTACTGAGGTAATCTTTTATAGGTAAAGGAGTAGGTTGATAATGATTTTTTTCTTATTTAAGGTCCTGAAGTGACGTGCGACGAGCGTTCGTGTGCGATGTACCGCGCGCTCTGCGCTGACGTGTCGCAGTCTTTGGCCCACACCTACCCCCGTTTGCTGCCGCTGCACACTGTCCTGCAAGCTCCCTCCGCCCCACTCACCCCCCTGCGAGCCTCCATAGACAAGATCTCCGATCACGGGATATATCTACTAGGTGAGTATACTAACTTAATGTGGAAACCTGTCTTACATGTACATAAGGTAAATTAGCGAGTTTCTAAGCGACTTACACAATCTTATAGTACGCGACGCTACATGATATTGTATTACGTAAATAACTTGGACACTAAAATCACAAATTAACGCAAATTTATACCTTGGGTACCACGAGACAAGCTACGGCTTTTACAACAATGGTGCTCGTGAGTTACGCAAACGATGGGATAATTAATATTAGTTCTGGGTGGCTCAAAATATACAAAACGTTTAAGCGATTACATCTTTTAAGATGCGACATTGTTAGATTCCTCGACTGTACTTAATATTTATATCATTACTTACTTTTGCCTGCATTCGATGAATTACAATAAAACTTACTAAGCCAATATCCAGACTGTATTCTACATTTCTGATATATTTCATTGTAATAACCTTTTTTTTATCAGAGAACGGCGTCCACATCCTAATCTGGGTGGGCTCGCTGGCGCCGAGCGCGCTGGTGGCGGCGGTTTTCGGCGCCCCCTCGCCGCAGCAGGTGGACACGCAGGTGTGCGAGCTGCCGCACCTCGACACGCCCGCCAGCGCCGCCGCCAGGGACCTGGTGCACCAGATACGTCTCCAGCGCCGCTGCGCCATGCGGGTAAATACAACTGTCCAATTGGGGTTTTGTAGTTGAAACTGTAGGCCTAAAATGTAGTTGAAACCGAGATTGAGCATAACATTTAGTTGAAACCCTAATTCGGCGTGAAATGGTTGTTGAAACTTTGACAGACAAAAATGTAGTTGATACTGCTTTTATATCTGAAACTCCAAATAGGACTAAAATTTAGTTGAAACCGAAATTAGGACACAATTGTTGTTGAAATTTCAATTAGGGCTAAAAATTTGTTGAAACTCTAAAAATCATTTAATTGAAAACCCAATTGATATATTAAATATCCATTTGGATATATTTTTCTGTAAAAATGGGACAAAATAGTACAGAACCTTATTTAGTAGCAGTATTTATAATTTGCATGTATATTGTCAGTGTTAAAAGTATTTTATTTGCTTGCGTTAGAGTGTTGTATAGTTTTCTGTCTTTAATTCTTAGTATATGGTTTTTGTTCTTCTTCCTTGTTCAGTAACTTGCATGCACTCTGCTTGAATGTGCTAGAATTATTGTTCCTAAATGACATTCCCGACATTTTATGAAATAAAAATTAGTTTTAATAAAAAAAAAACTCTTATTACAATGCAAATTAATAGTAAACAAAATAGCAATTTGTTGAAAATTCATTAGATGAGTTTTTCTTTAAAAAGCCTATCAAAAGTGGAAATTTTTCATCATGAAATCAGTCCCTGTTAATAAATTGATAATTTTATATTACTGTTTAGTGTATATATGTATAGTATGTATGAATGCGTGTGAGTTGAGTCTGTGGGCGGGCAGTTGCAAGTGCTGGGGCAGCACAGCGCGGAGCAGGGCGCGCTGCGGCGGCTGCTGGTGGAGGACCGCGGCGTCGCCGGCGACGGCTACGTCGACAGCCTCATGGCCACGCACAAGCTCGTCCAGAAGATGCTATAGTTAGGGGTAGGGACGACCACTGGACAAGCCAGTTTAAACGCCAGTTAAGGCTTTCTCGCTGGGATACAAATGGGATTCTATGCATGTTTTTCTTCACAAATATGTGTGCATTGCATGATTGAATGGCATTCTTCGGGTGATTTTATGAAATGTTTTACACCTTATGGTAACTCATTCAGCGTCATGTGGAATATTATCTCATGCGGCATATTGCAACATGCGTCATGTGGAATATTATCACAAGCGGCATATTGCAACATGCGTCATGTGTAATACTATATCATGCGGCATATTGCAACATGCGTCATGTGGAATATTATCTCATGCGGCATATTGAAACATGCGTCACGTGGAGTATTATCTCATGCGGCATATTGCAACATGCGTCATGTGGAATATTATCTCATGCGGCATATTGCAACATGCGTCATGTGGAATATTATCTCAAGCGGCATATTGCAACATGCGTCATGTGTAATACTATATCATGCGGCATATTGCATCATGCGTCATGTGGAATATTTTCTAATGTGTCATGTGGAATTTTGCAACAAGCAGCATATTGCCATTGCTATATCTCTCTGGCAATAAATTATTCTCCTTTAAGAAAAGTGTGAGGAACAGGTGATGGTGTTTATTGGGTGCTTTTTGCAGGTCCCCTACTTTAAGGGTTTGCTTTATTTTTGTCGCTTACCATTTATTTTGTCTATACACTATCTATAAATGATATCTTTCAGTTTCATTCAAATATCTTCAAAATACTTGTGTAATCGTTTGTAAAAGAATACGAGATTCATAAGTTTTTAATATCATTTAGAATTAATAAAGAAATATCTACATATAAATAAATATGATTACATTTATATGAATAAAATTGGGTACACAAGGGAATTGCTTTTAAATTATAATTTTTGCTTTCGCGGCTTTGTTTGCAAGATTTTAAGGCAATGGGAACATATTTACGGAAAAAGGCAAACGATATTCATAAAAAAATGAAAATATTCCCAATTCTGTATCATTTCATCCACTATAAATATTTGAATCATACAGGGTGGTCCATTATTCTATTATCTATTTGAATCTACACATTCCATATGAAGAAAAAAAAATTAAATCACAATTATATTTTTTTTTTTAATTGTTATAGTTAACAATAATGCGTCAACACGACAAGCTGGAGACGGTGTTGAGGCACTTCCTGGTGGAGGACCGCGGCGTGGAGGGCAGCGCCTCCTACGTCGACTACCTCTGCCAGATACACAAGGAGATACGCGCCTTGCTATAGCGTTAGCATCTAATGTCATCACATGCGAATGATGGGCCAACATATTTGAAACACCCTCTATATACTCTGATTAGTATTTCAGAATAACATGTCGAAATAATAGGTTTGACAATTTGAACACTCTGTATACACATTTTTATATACATTTCAGTGTACTTTGAACGAAATAGTTTGGAAAAAGTGAACACCTGTATACACTAGACTGTTTCTTTTCAATAATTTAGGAAAAGTAAACAGCCTATGTACAGTTTAGAAGTTATATAGTTTGTCTAAATAAGATAGATTAGTTTGATAAATGACGCATATGAAGTATCGAATTTAATTTGTATGAAGGCAAATGCCATACTTAATAGACAGGTATCGTAGTGACGAAACACGCAGCGAACAATTTTGAACTATCGATATTCGGTTCAAATATTTATCGAACTCAACTAAAATTATTATTTTCTTATTAACTAATTTATAGGACAATTCTAGTATTGATTATAGTGTAGAGAATTTAGCGATGACAGAAATAATAGCGAAATCCAATTCAATTACGTACGGCTGTAGTAGTAATAAACATTTATTTACTCTCATTATTTGTTATGGTCATTATTAATTTAAAAAAAAACAGTGTTTTTTCATGTCATAAGTTATAACAATAAATCTATCGATTCTAACTTCTATAAGAATAAAAATCGAAAATCGAAAATCGATAAGATTCATGACTGATTTTACACAACCATCCCTACTATATTTGAAGTGAATTGTCAAACTAATCTAGATTATTTAGACACACTAGTAATTGGGAATTGGACACTCTGTATGTTGATACATAATATTGTTAATTTATTCCTCATATTATATTCTGGAAATGGAAACTGTTTAAACTAAGGTTTTTAGAACACGACTAATCAGTTTTTTTTGGTAATTTGTCATAGATAATAAAAAATATATCGACGGATGAAAGGCTATTTTCAACCGCCATTTTAGGCTACAATTGCTTACATGTAATAGTTATAATATGTAATAATTAGTCCAGAATAGATGATTTTTGCGTCGTTTATAAACAATGAAGTATGCAGAAATATAGTAATTTCAATCTAAAACCCGTCTGAATATTTTACAATTTATATTATTGCTAGAAATTATTTTTGTGCTTTTTTCTAAAAACTTTTAATGGCTCTCTTGAACATTTAACTCAATGGCGCATAAAACAAATAGCTTTTCAACCATCGATATGTAAAACAATATTTATTGACCGTGAAATCAATAAAAAACTCTCTCTCTCTCTCATAAACTCATATTAATGAGATAAAATCAACTTTTGGTCAAAAAAAAGCTCAGATGATGCCTCCATATTACTTAAGGCTGTGCTTTTCAGCTGATAGATAGGCCTATCATTCAGAACGTGTGAAAACAGATATTAAAGAAATAAATCTGATTTTGGCTTGAATGTAATGTATGTAAATGTATGAATGAATTGTATGTAAGAAATAAATTACAATACATAACATGGATACGATCCTGTATAAATGTCAAATGTTTATTTTTCAAATATTGTATGTCCCATGTTTTATTGTAATTTTATTCTATGTTGCTAAATTAGATTATAGATCAGTTAAAAGTTTGTAATATTACATATATAAATATATATTTGAACATGTATCCGTTTGTTTTAATGCCCAATTCTTAAATATCTATCACTGCCGAGAAATGACCAAAACAAGACTGGTCCTGTACATGATTTGAATATATATGAAATATTATGTATTACTTAAATGTAATCTGCAGAGTTTGACAAAACTAGACTCTAGTATTAACTTGTATATAAAATAAAGGGATAATAATTACATTAACTCCAATTCTGGAAACATTTTCTAATATAAATGTTATTAGATTGTATAGAAATTAATTTGGGATTCATTAGTTTTTGTATGACTGCTTGTTAAATTTTCGTTATGTCATTTGGTATATCATTTAATATTAATCTGATAATTTTGTATCATATATTGATAATTTAAAAAAAAAGTCGATTGTCTTGTAATTTTATAAAAAAATTATGAACAAACGATTCATTAAAAAATGTCTGGCATATCCATATTATGCTTTCGATATTACCGAGGACTTTTTACATTATAATTTTCATTTTTTTTTCATTTAATCTAATTTATATATGTAGTTATTTTAATACTTTTTTAAAAATAATAATAACAAATGAATACATTTTTTTAACATTATTATGATATTTGTATGAGTATAATTTGGTTATCTAACTTTGGCCATTTAAAACTACGTCATTTAGGTGTCATGTTATGGTGGCCGCATAGTTCCGTTCCAATGTAAGCAGTGAACATTTATAAAACAGTATTTTATGTATTTTAGAGTTTATTTTAATCTACATGACATTGTGTTTTAACAGATCTTGTAGTCAAAATGTAATTTTCAAACGTTTGCGGTCAATTTTCAAAGTTCATTTATTGTGGTTTTATTATAAATAATAATTTTTGGCTCCGCGACTATAGTGTAGGAGTCATTTTCCATATTACTTTTTATAATCTACATTTTAAGACTTGATTGTAATTGAGTGTAAATAAATATATTCGCATTATTTTATATTTTTGTTTTATTTTAATAAACCAATTAGGGATAATTATAATATTCTCTAAAATATATAATAAAATAGCGAGCTAGAGTCGTTCGACTGTCAGGCGACAACGCAAGACAGACGACGCTGGCGCTCTCTCGTGTCGTAGGCCAAGACCCACTTTGGGTCGCTGCGCCAACGCAGTAAGTAAGTATAACGCCCGGCAAACTTCTTGAACAAAAAGCGGCGTAGTGGGGGAAGTTTCGCGCACGTACACTTTTAGACAAAATAATTGACATATTTTGAGTATTAGTAATAATTAGGAATGAAAAAATTCAATTTTAAATTTTAAGAACATGACAGACATGCATAAACAGCTTGTGCAATTTCTTTAGATGATTCTTGTGTCATGAAACAATATACATCATGTACTATTTTCCTGACTTGTCTTTTAGAACAATGTTACTTTTTCGTGGCATACTCAACAAGAAAAGTCAAACCAATAACAATCAAATAAAACTTAACAATAATAAACAAATGAGACTCAATAATAACAACAATAAAAAAAATTATAAACAATTATTACCGAATATAAGTAACAGCGAAATTGGGCCAGCAAAATTGGAGATAAGTGTATTCGGGAGTAAACGGAACATGGGAAAAGAAGCGGGACGCAAAGGCCGACTGATTAACCAATAGCAAGAGCGCGCGCGCATCCCCCCATGCCCCGGCAAAAAGACCCAAAAATTGACTTCTACGCAACTAAATGAATTGTTCAAGATGTTTGCCGGGCGTTATAATATTCTCTAAATAGTGTGTTTAGTATTCCAGCCCAGTGGTCTGTAGAACTGGACAGTTCAACACTTGGAATGTGACTTCCACAATTGGAATGTAAATCAGACATTTGCGGAAAGACATTTTGAATGAATGAGACGAAATTAACGAGAACAAAATTCTATTTAGTAATTCTGTCCTACACAACACCGGTCATTGGAATATAAAGTTTATACTCTATACTTAAGGTGCAAAATTGTAGCAACTATAAAATGTATACCTGTTTGCAGAGACGTTAGCCGTAGCATTGCTACGTTAAAAGGGTCTCCAACTTAACTCGTAATTTTCAAGGATAATATTACAAAAGTCCTTACATTTACTGCCATTTGTATGTTTTACACGTAAAAGTTTTTGTCTCCTGTTGGGTTAACTCTAATCAACATACGCTTGTCACCAGACAAATATTAACCGGCAGTTTTCGAACACTTCACTCCAAACAATCTCTTCGTTCATCAGTTTTTTAAAATATCCCTTTCATCTCTTTTTAATATTACCATTCATAACCTTTCCAACGTCGTCTTTTATACATAATTTTTATGTCTCTTCCACTGTTTTCTCTCTCTCTCTTGCTCTACGGAACAGGTGTTTTTGTCCCAGCGGGTTGTTCATGGAATAAAATAAAAAATAACTCAATATGTCAAGATGCTTTATTCCATTTTTTTATAAATAAACAATTGTGAAATTGTCAGGTAGATCAGAAAGATTTCCAAATAAATGTTTACGCAATATTTTTACTGGCGCATCTGTAATAAAAGCACTGAATTATCGTAGGATACCACTACCAAATACAAGAGCAATTTATCGTCAAATTTATTATTAAAAATATATGTTTTTATCTGACGAATTATTATGAAATTCTTTTCCGAACTATGTAACTTATTTTTCTGTTTTGAAAATAAGTTCAACATTAGCGGGCGCACTTTGAAAACTATCGCACAACTGTTGTGGTATCCATTGTATCGCAATACAACTGTTTAGTTGCATAACTAAAAATCAACTAGTGCACGTACCTCCATATAACTAAGCTCATAATCAAAGCGCGACTAAACAGTTGTGCGATAGTTTAGTTAAATATGTGCGTGCTCTTAGATGGATGTTTAAAACAACTAAACTTTCTGTATCATAAACAATTCAACAAATTATGAAGAACTAGCTTTCGCCCGCGACTCCGTCCGCTTGGAATTAATAAAAACAAAAGCGAGTAGCCTGTGTATTCTTCCAAACTATCCTCTACATCTATACCAAATTTTATCAAAATCCGTTCAGCCGTTTAAGCTACAAACACTAACAAACATCCATATAAACTTTCGCATTTATAATATTAGTAAGAGGAGGATAGTAAAGATGCTTGTCAGTCAATTGGCATCTCCTGAGTGTTAGGGTAGTCATTTGTTTTTTAGTGTATTATTCAACCGTGTCATAGCTACGTTAGCTTCGAACCTTGTAGACGATTTTAACTCCCGGGTAGCCATCTGGAGCATCCCCAGCTTGCTCGCTGTCTCCCTTCGCACGAATCACCTCAGCCATAGACACCAGAATGTGGAGTAACACCAGGAAGAACTCGTTTATGTACATCGTGATTCTATAACTATAGAATATGTTTAAAAGTATTTTTTTGAAGAGACACGTCTTTTAGCGGCATTTTAGGTAGCGATTATCAACGTAGAATGAACAAACGCGGCATAATGTCTTATGAAGACATGTAAATCACTCTACATTTAGTTTCATGCCGTTTCTCTACTCAAACACTGCTTAACTCTATCTATCAAGCGTTTCAGACACCTTCTGTTTCTTATATAACCTTTTAACATAATAAAAATGCTTTATTGTATGAGCAATCGATTCTGATTTTAAAATACTTACTTCCAACTATTTTAGCGCGAATATTTTCATTCAATATCTGAAGTGCAGTTGCTTGAATTGTTCCAAACTTGCATCATATCTCGTAGGTCCTGCAAATGAAAAATATCGATTTGTGTCTTTCCACCAAACAATAACAATTAACTACAAACTTAATCTAAAAGAGAACACGACGGTGGATCAACGCAAAACGATACTTCTCAACACGTAGGTAACTAACTACAAAGTAAAGAAAAATTATTTCTAGAGATTTATTACGTATATACAAAGAAATTGAGTCAACATTAATACTGATTAAGAAATAAATGCATAATAATATTCATATTTCCGCAGCAGATAAGTCGGACAGACTCTGCAAACAAGTTTAGATTTATCCATGGTTTCTAGCATGTTCAGCGAGGTTACTTCCCCATGGGGCCGCGTCGGCAAGGGGGGCGCCCTGTGCAGGCGACGCTCTTTTTGCAACCGCGGGCTCCGGACAACACCAGCGCGAGGATGGTCAAAGACAGAATTACTAAGCGGCTGAGGTCAAACAGCGGCATACTGAAATCATCCAACTGTTGAGCAGGATTTCTTTTTTACTTCTAAATAGTAGAAAGTCAGTGAAAAAACTTCCTATTGTAACTAATAGTTGATCGCATCAGTCGTACGTTGGATGTTTTAGCGCAAATAATTCAATGACAGCAATACGATAAAACTTTTACATCATTACATAACACTAATTAATTAGAAAGATTGTTGAACCGAATTTTTAAACAGCGAAAGCTGTTAAGGCAAGGTTTCCACGAACACAGCAGTCGACAACATCAATCGAGTTTCGATATCGGTTCCATACAAACTAACAAAGAACTGTTGTTTGTCATTAATTTGCAGACCGCTGCGTTACTCGGAATCTCGCCTTGAGTACTAATTAATAATGGCTCACTAGTCAAAAGTTGCTACTGTTATATACAATCAGGGAAACTGGCAATGTTCAGGTACAGTTGTTTTAAAGTTTTGAACACATTGAGATCACGCGGAACCAATAGGATGACGATTTTAAATATGTTTTTACGAAAAAAGGTCGGTCATTAATGGTTTTTATTATAATCCCGTCGTCGACTATTGCTGCCCAATTGATAATTTATAAGAAGAGACGTTTGTCATGTTAAGGTAATGATTTGTAAGTGGAACACCGCCGGATACCCTGATTGTACTTAGTAAGGTGTACCTTAGTTACTCCCCGCAGGGCGCAGGCTTCTTGCAGGCGATGTAAACTTTCCTCGTGCAGGCGGCGGCAAAAGAGGATACAGCGAGTAGAGTAGTTAGCAGGAGAAAGAGCGCGTCGCGCACCAGGCCCATCGTACGCTATCCACCAAGCACCAGCTTCACCATCCTGCTTTGATATAACTGCTCATACCTGTAAAAAACAAACTTTTTTTAAATAACATAAGGTATCAAACAATTGACTACCTGAATCCACTCAAAGGGCAACGCTACCCCTGCCCATAGATCCGCAATTGCAGTTACCAACCCTTATTGTATGAAGGAGACGCTTATAAAGATATTTTCCCTTCATATGCGTCTCCTGCACCATCAAATTCACATTCTTTTTTTATCCTTTTAAGAAATGGGTGCAAATAGAAAGGGACTAAAGGGACACTGGCTTTTTTTATATTACATAAGGTGGCAAATGAGCAAGCGGCCACCTGAATCCGCCAAAATGGCGAAGCAACCGCTGCCCATAGACATCCGCAACTGCAGATGGGTTGCCCACCCTTATCCGACAGAGAAGGAGACGCACATAAAGACATCTTCTCTTCCTATGTATCTCCTTCTCCGTCAAATCCACTTCCTCTTCCCAATCTTTCCTTATAAGAAAAGGGTGGTAAAGAGAAAGGGACTTAAATTAGGCCTCCGGCACCACACTCATCAGACGAAACACGGAATTGCTTCCATTTCACGCCTGTCTTCTGTGTGGTCGTGGTATTACACCTAGCGTGCCGGCCCTGCAGTGCTAAGATGTTAAAGCGGGCATTACCACTGTTATAAAAAGGCTTGGTCAAAGAAGAATAGCAACGACTTTGTGTCAAAGCCACAATCAATACACTAATATATAAGTTATTTTACCATTTGCGCTTTAAAGCGCTACACAATAAGATTCTGACAACTGAATTAGATATCCGATCATTAGTTAACACACAATTTATCTACTAGATACAGAGGTTGGATAGCTCAAGGTACTTTTTCTATGCTTATGCAGATTTGTCCGAGATAATATGAAAGGTTAATGGCCGTAAAAATAATTAACACCAGTAAAGACAAATAACATAGCAATTCCCATTAGACTATGGCTATTTTTTCGATGTATTTCCTTTATAATTTATCCACTCATTTGCTTGTAAATTCTTACATGATCATATAAATTAGATTTGTAATAACAAATTAAACTTACCGGAATTTTGTGTAATTTTTTAAATACGGTTTGTGTGGGTTTGCACTGAAATTTTGATTGATTTGTCAAATAGAACTGTAATATTTGAAAACCTTGTTGTTTGTTTTGTTTATTGGAAACGAGGTCATATTTCTAGTGTTATTAAAACTTTTTAAAATCAATTAATTTTTTCTCTATGATATTTTACAAAAACAAGGAGGAAAATGTTTTTTTTTTTAATATTTTTTAAGAAAAGCAGAGGGGACTGAGATCCTACAACATATGTTTTTTCAATAACCTCTTTCGTGAACTTAAGTCCTTTATATAGAAATTGTTGCTCACGACTTCGCCCGCGTGAAAATGGAAACCATAAAAAATAGTAGCCTTTGTTACTCATAGATAACGTAGCTTTTTAATTATGAAACAATTTTTGAAATCATACCAGTAGTTTTTGAATTATTTCAATACATACAAAAAATACAAATCTTTTCTCTTTATAATATTAGTATATATAAACAAATCCAACGTACTTCGATCAATAGCAAGGTAAACCAACTATAAATATGAAAAATCTAAAAAAAATAAAGCGAAAAGTTTTAATTATTGAAAATCGTGAAAATGTCGACTTGTATCATTAGAGAGTGTCATTAACAAGTCATTAAAGCCGTCAGCGGCTCGTAAACATAACGATAATGACCCACTTCCGACAACGAGACAAAATTAAACCTAAAAGAAGTGAGTAAATTATACATTCTGTTTTACATCTGAGAGAGTTAAAAAGTATGACCCCTACAGAAAAAATAATAGCAAGATTTTTCTAACTGTAAAAAATTTTTAATTTACTGACAAAACAAGTATTTCCTTTAGACAACATGTTTCCCAGAACTTACATAGTTATATTCTCATTTTAAATCACTAGCTGTTGCTCGCGACTTCGCACGCGTTAAAAAAAATTGAAAATTATAGCCTATGTTACTCAGTGATAACGTAGCTTTTTAACAGTGTATGGATATTTAAAATCTGCTTAGTTTTTGAGTTATTTCAATACATACAAAAATATAAATCTTTCATATTTATAAAATATAAATAATTATTAATCCAGAACTGTTTTTTTCACAAAGTTAGCCTAAATATTAAAACTAGTACTTACAAATCACCATTATTTTAACTTCACTTTATTAAACAACGAATTTCTGCATAAAATAATTTATCTTGTATCGCTCAATTGTTCTTTTAGATTACACGGTTGTTTTCTCATTATCTTACTTCTTACTTAATCTTACTAATATTATAAATGCGAAAGTTTAGATGGATGGATGTTTGTTAGAGTTTGTAGTCTAAACGGCTCAACGGATCTCGATGAAATTTGGCATAGACGTAGAGAATACTCTGGAAGAACACATGGGCTAATCCCTTTTGTTTTTTTATTAATTCCACGCGGACGGAGTCGCGAGCGAAAGCTAGCATTAGTTATGAATGCCAGATTTAGATAGATAGATGAATGTTTGTTAGAGTTTACAGGTGTCAAATAATTAATAAATAAATGTTTATTTCAATTCCGCGCAGACAGAGTCGCGTGCTAAAACTAGTAAGCAATCATTTAAAAATCTATTAATCTCGATATCGTTTTATTGGCTAATGATCTATTTCAAAGTAATTATAGATTCATCTAACAATTGCTTCACTACTATTTGTAAACGGAAAACTCAGTGCGAAATTGTTGCGAACTCTACCGATGTTATGGGAGGATTTTGATTGTTAGGGATTGATAAATGTCGATATTATTTTATCGATATATTTTATTATTATACGGTGATAAACGAGCAAGTAGCCACCGGGATATGCTGAAATAACGAAGTGACTGCAAACTATAAACATGTGCAATTAGGTATTTTAATGATAGAACATCTCGTTATATACGCCGTCGTCATATATACGTCGATATACGCTTATATACGGGGAAAGGCATTTCTAAGAAAGCTTTAATTTTTAAACTGAAAAGTAAAACCAATTCATGTAAACCAATAACTTAATATTGTAAACTACAAACTATCATTGAAAATATCTGGTATAATACGATTTGTAGTTAGTAGTAAGAGGAAATGATTTTCTAAACAGCACTACAAATAAGAGAATCTATAAAGGCGTATTGTCTAATCGGATTAAGAAAAAATCTCCACACTACTTGGAATTGAAGCTATTATAATTCCAGAAAACGCTCCGGGTTAAAATAACGTAGACTCGACTAAAATTAGCCATAACGCGGCATCGAAAACTTATTGCGGAAGAAATATATCGATAATTTTAGATTGATACAGCTACGTCTACAGCACTGGCGCTGCGCGGTGAAGTCGCACGCGCATTTCTAACAGAGAGAAAGAAACTTTATTTAAAATTAACAGATTTTCGTTTTTGTGTATGATAATTGCTTCCGTTTTCAAGTGTTCAGTGACGAATGTTGACGGAATGTGAGCGGTGGGATTTTCTGAGTGTTGCCATATTTATGTGAATTTTCCCGGAAGAATATTCGAATGATTCACGTAGTGTAATACGCGCCGTGGTTATAAGTGGTATGATTTTAGTGAAGATATTAAATAAATGTTAAGAATTCAAATTTCATGTGATAAAAAGGTAAGTGATTTGTCGTTGATTTGATAATTAATATTATATACCTATTGGTATACCTTGTAAGTTTTGTATTTTATACTAGCTTTCGCCCGCAACTTCATCCGCATGGAATTAAAAAATCAAAAGTAACTAGCCTATGCATTCTTTCAGACTCTATTGTGATAAATTTCATCGAGATCCGTTCAGCAGTTTAGACTACAAACTCTACCAAACATCCATCTAAACTTTCATGTTTATAATATTAGTAAGATCGTAATTATAAATTTCTTTCAGAGTTAATGTTTGCTCAAGGATTAGTTCGTTGTAAATATTTTTGCTCACATTTCGTTACTGAATTAAAATTATTATTTTATATTCTGAAAAGTTGGAAAACGCTAACTATTTAAGTATATCAGTAGATATTTAATTTTCTTTTGCTTTAACTAAATTTATTTTAAGGGTATATTTTATATGCAAAGTCTCTCTATATATATTTAGTAATTTCTCATATGATATTGCAGAACGTCCTATAACATTATTAGTTGAGTCGCCCGAGTGACGCCAGGCGGCCTAGTCTATAACTAAGTTTGTTCCGTGCTTGATATTAGGACAAGCATATACATAAATGCAATATCTAACCAGAATAATCATATATAGATTTTTGATATCTATCATACTAATATAAAAATATAAATGCGAAAGTTTAGATGGATAGATTATGAGAGTTTGTAGCCAAAACTGCTGTACGGATCTCGATGAAATTTGTCACAGATGTAGAACATAGATTGGAAGAATACATAGGCTACGTTATTTTTTTTAGTTCTGTCCGGACGGCGTCACAGACAAGGCTAGTGTTGAACAACTTAAGATAACATCCTAAGTTATGGGCTAGTTTATAGTAAACCGCGCTCATCCGTTTAACTTCATATTTTTGTATAACGCATTACATTTGATTGACATTATTATAGGACCTGTCCCACCAAATTGTAAATTAACAACAATTCAACTTGTAAAATATGTGAGAGTGACGTCATTTTTAACCCTTAAATGCGTGATGATGCATTTATACATCAGTGCTTTCTTCCTTACGCAATAAACTATTCAAAAATCATTTTTTTTTCCTTATCTATGTTCAATTTACTACCCGTTCAATTTATGGTATTTAAAACGAAAACATTATGCATTTAAGGGTTATGCTATCCAAGCCTCTATCAGTCAGTTGTGGGACAGGGTAAATGAGTTAAATTTAACGCCAACGATTCAATTTACAGCATTTTACTACTGGTGTTTGTAACGTATTTACATAGATATTTGTCGTGTTATTAAAATGAAACTTAATTTTCGTGTAATATACTCCCGAATCTCACAAATTCCTTGCCGCTTTGTCGTTCCCGTAACGAAGTAATAACCCGACGAGTGCGTTAGTAGCACCAAGCTTTTTTTAATTACTGAGACATTGGAGTCTTTAGATGTGCGCATACTTTTGACTAAACTATCGAAAAACTGTTGTCGATTGTTTCGCAGCCAATTTAACTGTTTAGTTGCACAACTAAAAATCGAATAGCGCACCTCCATATAAGCTCATATGAATCATGGCATACTAAACAGTTGTGCGATAGTTTTGTCAAAGGTTGAGGTCTTACTTTATGTCTACAATAACATGATAGTGTACATTGCGATTTGCTATGTTTAAGGGGCTATGATTTTCACAAATGATAGATTTTGTTTAATTATTTTTGTACTACGTTACTAGTGTTAAGGAAAATAAAAGCTTTTACGATAAACCAGTTTAAATAACCATAAAGTATCGTATTAACCATATACACTTTATATTTTAATCATGAGAAAATAAGAGTTCCAGGAAGTTAAACTCATGGGTTTTGTACAACTAGGTACAGTCGTGCGGTGAGGTCGGTCGGTGACAGCGGGCGACGTTATCTAAGGGTGCGGGGGGAAGCTGTCATCTACCCCCTCCTGCGATACTTTACCGGTTTTGTGCGAGACAGTACGTGGAATTAGTGATGCTTGTATTAATTTTAATTCTGTAGCATAATAATGAAGGTATAGGTACGTGGTAAATGGAGGTTTAATATCTTAAAAAAAGCAAAAATAGCGTATATATTCTTCCAGACTATACTCTACATCTATGCCATATTACATTCAAATCCGTTCAGCAGTTTAGTCTACAAACTCTAACAAACAAGCATCCATCTAAACTTTCGCATTTATAATTCACATATTATATAAAAATAGAAGTCCACCGGCTGCGGAATCCCATGACTCAAGCAACCAGTGGTCAGGGCTGCAGAGAAAGGAACCTCCTCACTATGCGTCCGGTTCCTAAAATAACCGCCTTTTAAACCGGGCCATTAATCCAACTGTCTAGAGAGAGCTTCTTGAAGTGTCAGTAAATTTTGAGGGATGATTAGAGAGTCATAGCTACGAGAGCGTAGCTGCGTCTACATGAAGGCCAAATGACAATGTCTACCATCCCTAATACTCGTGCTAGATAAATACATGGTCAAAGGTCTCCTAGTAAAATACAATTAAAACCTATCTCTTATACTTTATAGAATTATAAATATCTAGTTATCTAGAAATATTTCGTCCAACAAAAGATTTTACGTATCCCATAGTATTTTCAATATACAAATATTTTTATTTTTAAACTTTTCTTTCATCTTTATTATAAATTTCTTCAGTTTTTTAGACATACGAGCTAGGTTTTATTAAATTTTATAGCTAGTTGCATTAATGTTTTTATGATAGGAAACTTTTCTAGTATAAAATATGTAAAATATAAAAGATTAATTCAAATAAAACTACGTTAAAATTGGGACTCTATTGCTGAGTACTGAAATTACATCAAGATATATTCTTCAAAAAAATTTCATATATATAACACATTGTATTACAATTAAATTACAAAAAGAAATCAAGACTTACAGTCCTGTACGTTGCCATTTCGAAAATAAATCATACTGGGCTACTGAAACGAGGTCACAGCACCGTCTGAAGTTGTCTCCGTTACATCGCGCACTCGACTGAAGTTCGCTGCGATAGATTGCGCGCGCACTTCACACGTCGTCCGCCCAGAACGTTCAACACCTCGTCTCCGACAAATACTAGAAAAAAAATTAAAAAAAAAAGATAACGAGGCGTTAACCATTAATTCATGATACTAGATATGGCTGTTGTGAATTTTGTGTTTGTGTATATGAGAAATGTGAATATTTTAGTGTAGTGTTTGGGATATATTTCGCCTGTCTAGTTATCAGCTCTCACCGTTATATGTAAGTTATGGATTTTTTTTTAATAATTTTAAATAGTTTGTCGATTTTCTTTCGTAGAAAATAGAATTGTACAATAATTTATTACATTCGTATATTTAATTAATTACAATTGTAATTAATTAATTATGTTTGTAATTAATTTAAAATTTACGTCTTAATTATTTTACGATTTTTTTTTATTCAAATTAGAAATCGTGTAAATTTTTTTAACTATTTCGTAACATAAGTTGAACATGAAAATAAATTCTATCAAAGAAAATAAGCAATTTATAAATTTAAAATTGTTATAACTTCTTATTTCAAATTAATGTTTTTAATTAGAAGTTTCATTAGAAATTTAAATATTTCGCATCATTACTAATATCTTGTACCAGTACTAGACTCTGTACTATACTACGATAATTGTAAAACAGTGTCCATAAGTTCACCATCATTATAGGACATAGTACAAGGTATTAACATAAAAAGTCCACCAGTTTCTTAATAAATTGACACGATAAAAAGCTTCAAGTGAAAAGTCTTTCAAAATAATTAACTAAGCAATAGTTATTAAAAGATTACTAATATCTTTACATTAATATTATTAATTTAATTTATAGATTAACTTAAAAGCTCTTAAGTTAGAGTTAAGTGATGTTCAATATTTTAAACGCTAAACTTGTCACTGAAAAACTAGGTTATGTATAGTTTCCTAGTACGTACACTGACACTTGGCCTGGGTTCAGGTTCTAAGGGATAAGGGCCGATCGTAATCTGTCGGTCAGACGGCCATCGCTCATTAGGCACGGACGATCTGTATGGGTGTATCTTATCAGTGTAACAAGGTACAATTATTACTTAAGGTTTTCTGACGGAAAAAAAGGTAATAAAAATGGAAATGACAATTCAAAAATTGTCAACAGGATGTTGTTTTTTTCCTTATATGTTTGAGAACTCTACCTTCTTGCAAATTTCGATATTTTCGTGTAGTTTTCTTTCTAGATTCATCTGTTAATAATTTTTATACATAAAACATCTCTTTTCATTGATTACAAAAAACTAGATCTTACACAATTGTATGAATAATGTTGGTTAGGTTTTTTTTTTTCAATTTACCATTCAACGTACAAAAAGGTATTTGATTTTTAATCGGAGCTTTTGTTTAACAATTCAACAATTCGTAACATTTCAAATGTCTGCAGTTAAACTTTTGTTAGCGACGCGTTTGTCAAACTTTTCGGTGGAATATAAATGAAGGGATTTTATTTAAATTTAACGCAATTTGCGAGGAAGTAAAATCCACAAATGACATGACAATGGTGTCATCATATTTTCTACGAAGTAATTGATTAAAATTGAATTATTAAGGGGAAGTAGAGTTTCACATGCATATTATAAATGCGAAAGTTACGATAGATGGATAGATGTTTGTTAGTGTTTGTAGCCTAAACGGCTAAACGGATCTTCATGAAAATTTGGCACAGATGTAGATCATAATCTGGAAGAACACATATGCTACTTTATATCCCGGGATAAGTTACGGTTCCCATGGGATTCATTAATTTAGTTTTTTAATGTTTACTCGATTATTCTACAACGGTTCAACATATCTTATTGAAATTTGGCACAGATATAAAACATAATCTAGAGTACACATGAGATAAGGTTCACCCCCGAGAAATGTCCGGTTTCCGAGGGATACGTAGCTTATTTATTATTTATACGAGTATAGTTCGTATGTTTTCTAATACCCGAACGAAGTCGCGGGCAACCGCTAGTATGGTATAAATCTGAATGGATGACAGTTTTCTAAGTATTCTGTTCATGTAAAAAATGTTTTTTTGGTTAATACCTTAAAAATACAACAACGTAACTCACGTCTATCCCAGAAGGGTAGGCAGAGACCACGGACATCTATTTGCCTCGGTCCTGATATTCATATCTAGCTTCTACATTAATACATCTAAAAACGTCAGTTTCGGGTGTTTCTTCTACCGTTCTTATATGTTTCATTAATCTGAATGAGTCTTAAAAATATAACCAAGTATAGTACCTACATAATCCAGTCTCTACCTCACTTTTAAGTAGTCTAAGTTACATATAAGAGACGTCAACTAGCAGTCAATCCTCTACATCTATAGAAAATTTCATCGAAATCCGTTTAGCCGTTTAAGCTATGAACTCTAACAAACATCCTTACATCTAAACTTTTGCATTTATAATATTAGTAAGATTATAAATGTGAAAGTTTAGATGGACGGTTGGATGTTTGTTAGAGTTTGTAGCCTAAACAGCTGAACGGATCTCTATGAAACTTATCATAGATATAGAGGATGGTCTGGAAGAAAACACAGGCTATTTTCTTTTGTTTTTTCTTATTCCACGCGGATGGAGTTGCAGACGAAAGCTAGTATTATATATGATTATCATCACAGATCTGCAGTTTTCCGATCACAATGCTGTCCTCATGGCCTATTTTGGCAACGTTAGCGCTCACTTGTCATCTGTGCACGATATATCACGGTTTCGTAAGTGTTGGCAGCCCCACTCTCTCACCTAGCTCTAGTTGTTTCAATTACAACTATATACGAGTAACTAGGCCATCTGTCACTAGGAGGCGCTGACGCGTTAGGGTAAAAGTAGGGGAAAGTTTTGATGCAACGAATGCGTAAATTGAGATGGAAAATTCAACAGTTTTTTAGATAAAACGAAAGTAATACGACTAATATCTCGGCTAAAAGTTACTAATCTTACTTGGATCAAATATATTTTACACTACATTTACATTTTTGACCGACTTCCCAAAAGAAGGAGGTACTCAATTCGTCTGTATGTTTTTTTTTATTTTTTTTTTATGTGTGTTACGGCATAACTCCGCCGCTAGTGGACTGATTATGATAATTCATTTTTTATCCGAAAGGTAATGCTTGCAGATGGGTCCCATTTTTTTGTTTGATTTTTGGAGTCAAAGACTACGACGTAGTTAAATAGTTTAGCTCAAAATCGCGCGACGACATTTCGTACACCGACATCAAAGTAATAATAATTGTAAAAAATACAGACATAACAGCTACAATAAGGGAGGTTTAATATTTTGAAGGAATTATTTCGTTACTTTTTAGTGTACTGTTTTTTTGAGAATATTTTGTTTTTAGTGTATTTTGTTTGGAAGTCGGTTTTGTTTTTTTATTAAAAAGTTTTACAGTGGTAGAGTCCGTTTAATATCTTCGCATGAATGGTCCGATTTGCCCGGTGTAATACCACGACCACACAGAAGACAGAGGTGAAGTGGAAGTAATTCTGCATTTCATCTGATGAGTGAGGTGCTGGAGGCCTAATTTTAGTCTCTCCTTTTCCACCCTTTCCTTAAGAGGAAGGAATATGAAGGCATGGATTTGACGGTGGATGAGACGCACAAAGAAAGGCAATATCCTCTCTATGTGCATCTTCTCCTCGGCCTATTAAGGGTAGGCAACGCATCTGTAATTGCGGATGTCTATGGGCGGAGGTCACTTCGCCATTTCGGCGGATTCAGGTGGCAACTTGCTTTGCCGACTAATAATATAAAAAATACATTATGCAGATAATAATAAAAACATGTCTAAGTAAATATCTATTTATAGATTTCTCATTTTAGTTAACAATTCTACTTTTGTGTTCCCTTAAAAGCAATTTTAGGATATAGTATAGTTTAAAGGCTTTGTACACGTACCGTAACAAAGCCTTAAAGCTGAGCTAGGGGGTTGAGCGGGGTTGAGGGGTGCAAGCGGCCGTTGTTCCCGGACATCACCCGCCTTGATTGAATCCCGCAGAGTGGCTTTCCGGGACAAGGGTAACCAGGAAAACTATTTTCAAAGAGATAGTACTAAATTTTTGAAGTGTTAAATTCGAACGTAAAATTTTCTCTGCCATTTTAACTAAAAGTACTACACTGTAAGTGTATAATTAGAATAATCCCTAGTTTTTTTTGGAAAAGTATTATAATGTATTGATATCTTACTAATACATATTATAAATTCGAAAGTTTAGATTGATGGATGGATGGATGTTGTTAGAGTTTTAAGGCTAAACGGCTGAAGGGATCTCGATGAAATTTGGCATAGGTGTAGGGAAGAACACATAGGCTACTTAGTTTTTTTTTAATTCCACGCGGAAGGAGTCGCGGGCGAAATCCTGTAATGTCCTGTCCTGTAATGTAACCTAAAATAACAAAGGAATTAGTGTAAAACTTCTTTACTTCACACTTCTTCTTTACTTTATTCACATGTATTATTAATTTCAATTTAAATGTCATATAGTGTTAATATTTCATTATAACTGTATCTAGGAATTTCCTTAATGTCAATGCTACATGGCCACCCTACACAAGAGCGGTTTCATACGTGTATAAACTGTGAGTTGAATTTTGCAATGTAAGTGCATCTCCTCGCCTCACCTCGTCTACCTTTGTACTGATATTTTACATATCTATGTTGAATTCAATTAAGAAATGTATGTGTATTACGAAAGCGGAAGATAAATTGGTCTCTTACCCTTCCCATCTTATTCTTGTAAAGAAAGGAAGAAGAGGTGGAACATCTTTCTGTGCGTTCCCTCTTCCATAAAGATAAACAAGGTCTGCAGTCTCCTTAGGCGAATTCAAGGGCCTGTTCTTTTGCGATAACTATCTTACTAATATTATAAATGCGCAAGTTTGTAGCCCAAACGGCTGATCGGATTTCGATGAAATTTGGCATAGAGAGGATAGTCTGGCAGAACACATAGGCATATTTTGTATCTTTAATTCCACTCGGAAAGTCGCGGGTGAAAGCTAGTAATATATAATGCAACGTCACAAGTCTTGTATTCATTAAAGGCATTTAATTATTATTCAAATATATCAGCTACGTCACTGCGAGCTTTATCAGTGACATCGCGTTTGCATAAAAAGTGCAATAAACCAGCATTTCACGGGCGACGAAACCGGGTCACGAGGCCGTAGTCGTAACTATTATACAGAGTGTATTCTAAAAGTAATTTTT